TTAGGGATGGCTAACGCAGATAGCCCTCGTGTAGCTTTGTGCGAAATTCAAAAAACAAACAAACAAATATTCAATTTGATCTTTTATTAGCACCTGTCACCTGTTAGATCTGTTAAGTTTGCTCTACCTGAATGTGAATACTTTGGAAAGGCCGAGAGAGACAAGCATATTGTACATCACCCCTAAAACGTTTGTTTAACTGTATAGTTTTTACTGGTGAACGATATGTAATTAAAAACCAAGAGGTGGGCAGGTTAACAATTTGATCATAACTATGTTGCACTAGTTGCTGCATTATGTGTACTGATTGGCGTTGGGACCTGTTAGTGAAGTACCTACAGGTCTAAATTCCCATCAATATTAATGGATCTTAAATGAACGTGTTAACAAGCCATGGTGAAGTTAATGGTTCACCAGAATAATGCTCTCTGCCACAAAGCCTATACACAATATATACGTTTTGGGATGAGCTGTCTAGAGCCCAATTATTAACCTTATTGAGCATTTCAGAGACATCTGGAGTGGTGACTCAAAAAGTTAGACCTAAGCCTTTCAATCTCATCTACTGGTCAAGCGTTCAACAGATGATATCTACTATTGACTTCTGTGTCTTTGTGTTGCTGAAATAATTTAATTCACTGATTTGTATGTGTATGTTGGACGGAGAGAGGGGAAGTGAATGCTAGAGTTTAATTCGTCATCATTATTGAGTTTAATCAAGATGTTTAAACAAGCCGGCTATTTGTTTTTCAGTTTCATGAGACGTATGGATATCTTTATTGAAAACCATTCCATTTGCAGTGAGTTGATATTTTTCTTTGACAGTTTTATTAAATATCACACCAAAGGCAGTAATTTGATGTTTTCATAGCGTCTTGCAAAAGTATTCACCCCTACAAAGTTTCCACATTTTATTGCCATCTGAGCTTGCAATTGTTACATATCTGTTTGTTTGTTAATTTCCCGTAGAAATTCTTTCCGAGAAACTTCAGCGATACAAGTCCTTTCTTAATTAAAACTAGTTTATTCTTTCTCGATACAACTTTTTGTAATACACAGAATTTCCACAGTCATTTTAAACTTAACTACTTTTATGAACACACGCTATAATTCACAGCGATTCACACACTTTACTTCCGGTGCCTACTGTTCGCTTGACTCAATTATTTCTCTTCAATCTATCTCCGGCTTATATACTAAAAAGGAGGGCGTCTAGCAAACGATAAGACATTCGTAAGGTTGCCCGCTAAGTCACAGTCCTTCTAGAAACTCCAGCGCGCATGCTTCCAGAGTCGCGTGACTTTCGCTGTCGTAACAATATAATTTCCTGAATTTTTTCTCCTTAATCTATGGAACACGTTGAAACAAAAAACATTACATGGCTCAACAGCAAGTTTGAGGGCGTACAACACTAAAAATCGGGTTTCGAAACCCGCAATATGCAGAAATTAATGAGAACACAAATAGACTTTTGTATAGCTTTATGCCTACAACGAACAAAACAATAATAACAAAACTCAAATTGTTTTTCGGTAAAATGTTTATAATTTATATTAATGAACTGTTTATTTTAGGTAAATTGAGAAGTTATTACTGTGATAATGTATATAAGTAAAGCTAGTTTTTTATAATGTAAAGATGAATTAGAAAAAACCGTTGGATTTACAGTTACTTCTTCATCACGGTACAGCAACTTACAATACCTTACATATAACAAGGTCCAATTAGAGGGGGAAGGGGCTTCAAATTTTTCACTTGTTTATCTTATGTTGTATATTTTATATATATATATTGTTACGTATCTGCTTGTTTGATAATTTTCTGTAAAAATTCTTTTGGAGTGACTTCAGCCATACAAGTCCTTTTTTGATTAAAACTAGTTTATTCTTTCTTCTTACAAACTTTG